CCGTTTTTGATAGTTGTTACCTCCATCTATCATATATATATATATATATATTTCTCCTGCCGTTTTTGATAGTTGTTACCTCCATCTATCATATATTATATATAGATATATGTATTCCTTCTGTCATTCTTGAGAATTGTCACCATTTGTCACTCTGCATAACACTTGTGGGATTTGCCGTTGTTACAGATTTCAAATGCGACATCTCGTCTGTGTATGCTGATCCTAGGAACCAGCGATCTAACCAACGACTTGAGGGCAAGGTGGGTATCCCAAACGTATCCCTGTCTAAATCCAACAAGCTTTGAGGGTCTTATAACCGTGTGTATGAGAGTGTGTATACATATGCATGAGAGTGCGTATACATGTGCATGAGAGTGTGGATACATGTGTACAAGAGTGTGTATACACGTGTACGAGAGTGTGTACACATGTGTACACGAGTGTATCTGACCGTCGAGTGCGTGTGTGTATATATCTAACGACCCACTTCACGGCACGTCCGTCCCCATCACACCGAAAGGGCTGTCTGTCTCTACTCCCTATATTATCTACCCTCTATATCAAACAACCTGGTCATACGATACACCGCACACCTCTCCCACAGGCACGTACCTTCACGCTCTCCGCTAGTGACCAGCTTTGGCCTGTGTCTGTTGGCGGGTCGGGCGCACGGGCTGGCTGTGATCGACGGGGTTCACTTGGATCTCAGTGACGATATAGGTTTCCACTACGCGTGTGAGCAGGGACGGGATATGGGCTTTGACGGAAAGACTCTCATCCACCCGAAAACAATCGCCACTGCAAATGAGGTATATATATGTAGTTGTATATATATGGATTTGTAGATTTATAGATTGATGGATTGATGTATTGTTTCTCTATGGCGACTGCAAAAGAGGTATATATATATAATTATATATATTTATGGATTTATATATTGGTGGATTGATGGATTGTTCTGTATCGTCACTGCAAATGAGGTATATATATTTATGGATTTGTATATCTATATATTGATGGATTGTTTCTCTATGGCTTTGTTTTAGACACTCATTCATCCGAAAACAATCGCCACTGCAAATGAGGTATACATATATAGTTATATGTTTATAGATTTGTAGATTTATGGATTGTTTCTATATGGCTTTGTTTTAGACCTTCACCCATCCGAAACTAATCGTCACTGCAAACGGGGTGTATATATACCTAGTTCACTTTCTGTATAGCTTCGTTTTCATTGGTAGATGGGGCTGACGTAGCCTTGTTTTATATATGGTGCATGTTTCTCTATAGCTTCATTTTCATTGGTAGATTTGTAAATGGGGTTGACGTAGCCTTGTTTTATATATGGTGCATGTTTCTCTATAGCTTCATTTTCATTGGTAGATTTGTAAATGGGGCTGACGTAGCCTTGTTTTATATATGGTGCATGTTTCTTTATAGCTTCGTTTTCATTGGTCGATTTGTAGATGGAGCTGGCGTAGCTTTGTTATTGTATACGGTACATGTTTCTTTATAGCTTTGTTTTCATTGGTCGATTTGTAGATAGAGCTGGCGTAGCTTTGTTATTGTATACGGTACATGTTTCTTTATAGCTTCGTTTTCATGGGTCGATATGTAGATGGAGCTGATGTAGCTTAATTTTGACACATTCAAACCCATATCAAGTTCCAATTCCACGGATTTGTTCTACCGGATAATTTGGCACACCGTCACACTAAATTTCCAATAGCACTGCTTCGTTTTTTCCAGATTCTCGATACAACCCCTTATCGATTTCCAATTCGAAGCATGGTTCCCAGATATACAATACATCTCCATATTCATTCCTGATTCAATGAACCCGTTCTCCCAGGTGTTTGGCCTGGACAGCAGTGTTGTGGTACACGCCCAGCGGATCATCAAAGCCTTCGAGACAGCCGAGCGCGAGGGTAAAGGTGTGGCCACTGTGGACGGTAAGCTCATAGAGAACCTGCATGCCGAGGAAGCTCACAGACAAATCGCCTTCCACCGGATGGTGTGTGAATTGGAGAAGGGGATCAGGTGAAGCAGACTTGACCGGGTAATTTAGGGAAGCCTTTCCCCCGGGGTGTGTGTGTGCACTGGCGATGAGTGGGAAAGTCAGGCGGGGTAGTTTAGGGGTAGTTGAAATGGATCAGACGGGGTAGAATAGTAGTTGCTGCCGAGTACGGCTATATAGTCTTGTATCGATCGGATGTTGGGATTTGTTTATGAACGGGACTCAGAATTGGGCTGTAGTGGGTCTCCCGAGGTCTGAGCCGCTACGGAATGCTGTCATAGTCTGCGTGTGTGGCTGGTGGTTTATAGCCGTATATTACCTTTTTAGGTGTCTATGCGGCAGGTGTCGTGTATGCTAGGGTTTAGGGTTCTATCAGTGATACGAATGCCGATGCCGAGATAGTACCGAAAAGCAAGCGGATAGCACGATGTGCCATGCCAATGTATGGAGCTGTTCAAATCCTGTGCTTTAGGTTTGGAGTTTTAGGTTTTATTCTGCCGAAACCGAGTTTATTTCGGCTCCTGGGGTATGCGCGATGTTGCATGGATGCGTATGCAAGTAGTGCACAACCCCAATAAAACCCTAGGCCCTATAAACTTTCCGTTCACATACCCCACCCGCGTGCACATTGGTATCCGGTTGATAGTACCTACCCACGGGCGACGGATAAGCTGTTAGAACCCTCGCCCATTTAACCGCTACAGTTTACATAACTAAATCTCCACATCACATGCACGCCCAGCACACTCACGGCAAGCTATAGCTAGAGCGTTGTCGTCGGTGTTCGGTGTATCTGTTTGACATCGAGGATAGGTCCCGTTTGTATCTTGTATGTGCACCTTCACTGCCTGTCTATCACTCAATAGTATGGTGAAAAGGCTGTCTACACCGCAGACCATGATAGTTCGAGGCCCTACTATACGTCTTTAGGGGAGAGGGGGGGGGGGTATTGGGAGAACGCAATAAAATCCATAGACCCTATGCCGCCCAGCATCCGAACGTTTTCTCCATTTCCGTATCCTATTGTGCAATATCATTCGTACAATAATTAGAGAAGATTTTGAACAGACTGAACAGGATGTTCAAATACAGTCTCTCAGAGGCAGAGGGTTTTTTTGTTCTAACTCTCAGATGCAGAGGGTTTTTTCGCGATTAAACTACGTGCAAGTAAAAATAATGAAGGCACAAGACTATACACCACCAGAAAGAAAGCCCTGAGAAGAGGTCCAAGAGCCGTCTCGTATGGCACCCGTTATGCACTGAGACACTCCTAAATGCGGCCTCATTCAGTACCAGGAAGTACTGTCTCAAAGTACCATACAGATGCAGGTAGATCTACACCGAATTACAGTATAAGCTTGATCCTTCAATGTATTCATAAGCATGGAGTCCTCAATGGTGCTGGCTCACTTGTGTGTTGCTATGGTGATAAGAGGATCGAGGGCGTCAGCTACACCCATATCGCAGTCTGCCTCATAGATTCAACAACGTACCTGTGAAATTAGTACGGCAAACCTATTGCACGTATCTCGAAACACCGTTTGATTCTCGTATCCATATTCCATACATATGAGATTTAATTGGACAGTGGCGCTTGCACAACTAATGTATACAGTAATGAATACATACACACGTATATAT